AACAAGCTCAGACAAAGTGTGTGTAAAGTGTGGGTTGTTGTGTGTGCGTACGTGTGCCAGTGGGTGCTGAATGTATTTTGCCTATTATTTCTATGCAATATCCTTAACTCACCAGTATGAGCTCCTTCACTTTGTTGCCAGTCATACCAATTTCTCCCACCCCTTGTTTCCGGTCTTTATTTAAGCTGCCATTGTCAAAACTTCGTTTAGGTCAAAATACACAAAATGTGTTACTCTCAAGATCTTCTACACCTCTACAGTAGGACTGGCAGAGAGAAAACTTCACTTTTATGAGAAATATACTGGGAATGAACAGAATACTGGTCAAAGCATCTATGAAGCACTTGAGTTCTGATAACCTTCATTTTGTCTGAATACACTGATGATGTGCATTTAATGCTAATACATCTGTTTTCTGACTGTATGCTAGTGCTGGTTGTGAGCACAGCTGTACCTGCTTTGCCTGACTGACTGGAGCTCGCTGTGTTGCAGGGTGACGGTGCTGCAGAAACGCTCAGCTGTAAGTCTGTCTGAATTTGCAACACTTCTATGACAGATGTGTAACAGCTGGAATTGTGAGAACCAAAGCACAGCCATAACTACTGCTGCAGTGTAACATGTGTCATCTCAAGTCAGCAGTCATTGTATATGTTTCAACAGATAGCTATACATCTAGTCTAGTCTAGTTTTCCTGCACTAGTATGGACAGAGCCCGAGGAGCAGCTGACCTTCATAAAGATATGACCAGCTGCAGGCATAACACATTATACTGTTTCTCAAGGTTTCCCTATGCAAGGTAGCAAGTCATAGCACAACAGAAAATACCCCACTGTGAACCTGCAGATACTCTCTCGATGAATATCATGAAATTGCAACATCCTCAGTTTTGTCTTTTGCTCCATTTTTTTGTACAAACTAAAAACTTGCAATTGTTTTTAAATAATTTAGTTAAACACTGTACAGCAGTTAGCATGGACATTTCTGCAGTGATTTACTGAGAACCTATCAGTCATAGTGATGATGGACATGACGGTTGTCATGACGGTTGTCATGTCCATCATCCTCATGAGCCACAGAGAAGAGCAGCACCAAAAGAAAAAAAAGGAAAAAAGAGCACACAGATGAAGCATGCAAGTAGGCATTCGAATGGAAGGAAAAAACATTTATTCATAAATAAAATAAAATCAACATGGTACTCTACACAGGAAGAGCCATGCAGACAGGTTGCTTTTCAAAATAAAATTCAAAGAAAGTGAAGAAAATAAAATTCCAAAGCTACATGAAACTCAAACGTATTTCAGTTGAGAAAAAAAAGAAAACAATCCAGAGCCACAAAATGCAATAAATAGGTGTAACTATTAGTGGTTAAAACAAACAAACAAACAAACAAACAAATCCCGCCAGCATAACAAGCATAAAGGCAGTTCAAAAGCAGACATTAGTAGTTTCATTGCAAATGCTCTTTCACATGTCCTGTCATAGCATGTGAATGCGAGTATTATTTTCCCATTTCATCAGTTAGTTCCCTTTGGTTCTCTCGTTTAACAAAGTTCAGGTTTGGTCAGGACAACAGAGGTGTTCTAAAAGCATCATTCAGAGATTCAAATTCAGAAAGAAAAAGTGCAACTTTTATACTCTGTTATACATTCGACATTTAAATGTCTGAAGTTATTCATGTCATCACCTTGTTGTTCTGAATGCAGTAATAAAATATACGTAAACCCATTCTGACCTTCACCTCCAGTCGCTTTCAAATTCCACATAATTTTGAAGTTTCCTGTCACGTGAAGTAAACAGACCGTAAACTCCACTTTTCAGTGGGGGAGTAAATAAGCGGTGGTGGTTTTTCCTGACAGTGGAAGTCGTTCAGATGAAGAACTGTTTATGTGAAGGTTTAACAGAATACATTTTAACCCCAGCAGCAAGTACACATGTGAATAACTGTGGTCCACAGCCAGACTTTAGACTCCACTGTGCCAGACAACAGTCAGGTGTGTGTATTCCAACTCCTTCCGCCAAAAATGGAAGCCCTTGTTTACACCTGTGCAAGTACGCAAATATTCAGTTGTCATGAAGCCTGCGTGAGATGTCAGGCACAAATCAACAATGTAAATGTTTGGCTGGATTGTTTTTGGACATGTGGCGAGTATAAAAACATGTATGTTGTTGTAACTATTTGTTGTAAATATTAGACCATTTTATGACATAAATTTTTTTTCTTAACATATTAATACTTTTCCTGCATCTCTTAACGCAGAACATTAAAACCTTTTTTTTTTTATAAAAATACATTTTTCACAAGATATATTTTTTCCTCTTAATATTTAAAAATTTTTTTTAAATACATACCTTTTCCGTAATTTGGATTTCTCCCCATGAAATAACACTTGTGTTTTAAAATTTTAAAAATATAAAATCATACACTTACTATAATTCTGCATTTTCTTAAAATACTGTCTCTTTTTTATGTAATATTTCCTTACATAAAGGAAACAAAGCACCTACTGTTGCCAATGACCAAACCATGAACTGTAAAGAAAAGGTTGAATGCATCGCAGTGCAAACAAATGCAATGGGAAAAAAAGCTGATGCGTATGTGCCAGAAAAAGCTCCTCCATCGCTCCATGTGCAAACACAGCTTTCCACCATTTCACCACCAGCAAAGTACAGTGAATCCCTTCTTTGTTTTTGGTTAGTACACCAACTGCCGTGCTGCATGATGGAGGGCCGGCTTGATCCTCCAGGCCTCCAGTGCAAAGGGTGAGTCAACCTGTAGCGGGGTGGGGCAGGTGTCTGGGTGGAGTTGATAGTTACCCGGGGTTTTTGGGCTCGCTGTCTCGGGACGAGCCGCCGCCTTTCAGCTTGCGAACGAGTTTCTCGCTGCTGCGGCGGATTGACGCTCGTAGTTTACTGAAGGATCCGCTCCTCTTCAGAGAGCCGGAGCCATCCTGGTGGGACACGTCACAGAGTCACTCATACACACCGCTATCCAACATATTTAGAAGAGTGCAGACACAGAATGTAGATTAGCATCAAACCAGCGTACACTCTCATTACTGCCTCAAACACATTTTCTGCTACTGTGCTTTAATCGAGAGAAGTCTGTGCATCTTACTACTGACATGACTTAATAATTAAAACTGTCCAAATCTAGGCTACACATACTCACACCCTATCTGCACACTGGTATATGCTAATATATTCACACAAACACTCAGTAGATCACTGTGTGATTAAAGGAGTCCAATAGAACAGCTCTGCTACATTTAGTTTTACACACCTTGTAATCATTAGTCTGTTTGTATTACAATTAGCATCTTGAGCTGCTGTACTGGACTGCATTTGCTTGTCTCGTGCAAAATTTCATGTGCTTACATGATGCAGTAAAGCAGCACACTCATTACAAACCAGCAGAGATGCTTAATGCGTCATGTGTGGCTTGTACTTCAAAAATAATGCTCCGTGCACTAAACAAGACTGTATTTATTTTGTTACACTGCATCTCATTCTGAGAGACTTCTACCCCTAAACTGTGGCACCATCAGCTGGTGTATTCTGTTATACATTATTCTCATCTTTTCAAATGTGAAAGGCTACACAGAGTGGCTCTGGAGAAGTCACACTGCATAATTTAGTGGCACCATTTTTAAGGTGTCAGCTATGGCTGTAGATGGCCCCAAAATCAAAAATGACATTACACGAAGAGATCTTTAGTGTGAGAAAGATAACACCTCTGACATTTCATCTTCATTTAGTCCAGGGGTGGGCAATCCAGGCCTCGAGGGCCGGTGTCCTGCAGGTTTTAGATCTCACCTTGGGTCAACACACCTGAATCACATGATTAGTTTGTTACCAGGCCTCTGGAGAACTTCAAGACAGCTAATTTAGCCATTTAAATCAGCTGTTGGATCAAGGACACATCTAAAACCTGCAGGGACACCGGCCCTTGAGGCCTGGAGTTGCCCACCCCTGATTTAGTCTCAGCACAGCTTTGATCTCTGACTGTTAAACTGGATGCACTTTATTGGACCTGCTAGTTTCTCACCTGCACCACTTCCTTTCAACATGTGTTGTTGAATAATAATAATGAATCAGAAGTTTGACTGAGGAATAGGGCAGCGTCTTGTGTGGGAGAGAGCGACTCAAAAGGCTATACATAGATTTAAAAAAAAAAACATAATTTCATATTTTTTCCAACTTGGATGCCTTCAATTTTGCCATTAACCATTGTCATCATATCCAGCAACATGGTAGGATCAGAGTGGTGAAGCCAAAATAGGTCAGTTACTTCCTAGTCCTGGCAGAACTCCATTTTTGTAAAAATGTAGAAATAAATTACAATAATAATTGAAAAACTGATCCAAAATATGAATTAACTAGTTCCAATGATTTTTAATGTTTGCTTAAACTTCTGATTGGTTTGGTTTTTTTTATTAAAGAAAAGTATGTCAAAGTTTAAAAGCTGTTACTGCCATGAGTTGTCAAAGTAGTCATGGAGAACCAATTCATTCTCCAAATAAACTGAATTTTTCACATCAACGTGACTTTTACCTTTAAAAACTAGAGCACACCTAAAATATGGGGGAAAAAAGTTGATCTGTAACTAGCTAGAGAGACAGTTAAGCATCACCCAAACATACCTCAGAAATCAAATGAAGAATATAATATGCTATTGATTTCTGACATAAACCTACCCTCTGAGCTTCTGGGAGATTAAATTTAAATATGCATTTTTTCAGAATTGAGTTTTCAAATCTGCAGAACATCCATTATCTGATTTAAACAATGACATAAAAGATTCCATTTACTGGACTGTGGATATGGTGATTGTTCTTCCTTCCACTGCTGCTGTATCTGAGCAGGACGGGTTTAGAGCTCACTCAGTTATGATGACACACACACGGAAAAGAGAAGGAACACACAAAGAGGCGACAGGCACAGGTTCAGGTGAGCAAAGAGTTTAAGTTTTATTAGAAGTTAAGAAAGATGCACAAACAGGACAGCACACGCAGAAGATTAGTAGCAGGAGGTGAGATCAGACTGACGAGGAGACTAATTAAATTCCTAAACTTTCAGCAAATGCAACAATAATGCTTTTATACAGCAGATTCTCTGTAACCCCCCCCCTCACACCAACCCTGACAACTATATACACAGATATACAGAAGGTAAACAGAGAGAACACACAAGGTTTAGGCTCTGTATCGGCCAAAAGCTTCACTTTTTTCAAGACCCAACCTGACAAGTGGAAAACTTGAACTGTTGCAGCGTTTCTCCCCGAGACTTAACCATGTAAGCCCACTGCACATTAACTCCAATCACCTTTATGTGTCCTCTTATTGACATCACAACATGTTTTTGTCTGATATCAGTGCAAACGATGAGACAGCAGAGTGACACAGCAAAGACTAAACTCTAAACAGGAGCACAAACCTACAGAGCCACAATCAGCGGTGCTCCTGATCATGCTGACGAGTAAAGTCGATGTTTTTTACAGCGTGTTACGTGACTACCACATGAGACGTTTTCAGTTATCACTACGGATTCTAAAAGCTAATGTTGAATTAAATTGCGCGGATGATAAAAGAGAGATGAGAAGCTTCTAACCTCTACAGAGAGAGAAGAGGAAGGAGGCTTTAACATGGACCTCAAGCCTTCTCAGACCTTTTTTGTTGTTGTTTTTGGCTCATCTGACCACGACATCAACAAAATGTCATCACTTTTGCTCCTGTGAATGCCTTTGCCAGTATTGTAGTGCTGAAATGTTTTAATTTTTTTAGCCTAATGAAGTTTGAGGTTTAAATCAATCATTTGCACCTGGGTTGAACACAGGATGTCATGTTCACACAGCAGGAAGTTGTTGTTTTTCCTGTGTTTTTTAAACCACAATCTGTCATTTTTAGACCTCAAACACAGTTTACAATTTGTTGCACAGCGGCACTGCTACTGCTTTTCCCCCTGTTTTGCTGTTTAGTTTGGTTCACTGTTTAAGATAAAGATCCACTGGATACAAACACGCACATTCTTGTTGCATTTTGCAGTCATTCTGCGTGACCCTGGCCTTTAAAATCGATGGACCTGTTCAGCAACACTTCATTGATCTCTTTTTAATCACAAAGAAAAGTTCGGACCAAAATTTTGCTCCACTTTAAAACTAAATATAGCACATGAGCACATATTTGGTCATCTCTTTTGGACATCCACTTTTTGCTTTGATTTTAATGACATGAAATTTAAAGATGAAACTTTAATTGATCTTGTGGTCAGATTTGTACCAAATAAGAAAGTTCATAATTTTAGTTAAAGAAGAGTTCAGTTCAGGAACTTTGTGTCAAACACCCCTCAAAGTTCCTCCAAAAACAAGTCTACAAGCAAAACGAAAGCACATTTTAAAGATAGGAGAGTGACAGAAAGAGAGGAAGCAGAGGAGCAGAGTTAAAGGACAAGGAGAAATATCAAGGTATGAAGCACAAGTTTACTGTTGCCATAAAGAAAAATCACCCCAGTCCTCTCCCACCCGCAGCAGATACACATTCTAGCGCAGTGCTTTAGCACAAGTAGAAAGCAGAGGGTTGGATTCGGACACACAAGCTGTCTCCGTATTTCTGCCAGAACCATTTTCACACAGTTCCTGTTCCCAAAAACAACTGAGATTGGGGTGTAAAAGCAACATTATCGCTGTGGTTGAACCCGGTGTGAAGAATCCCGCCACAGAAAAGAGCTGAAGGAAAACTGCAAAGCTGAAGGGGCTGAGGCGAGGTGAGGCGAGGCATCCGTCATGCAGAAGACAATTTTTAGAACCACTACAAGGCATCTGGAGTTACGCCTGCCGGTCAGACAGAGCAGATTGAAGAGAGAAAGACGCAAATGCAAACAGTAAAAGAGAGGGGAAAAGACAGTAAGATGAGATATGGATACAGAGGAGCAATTAAAGAAGGGTGAAGAAAGGAGGGAAGCATACAGGACAAAGACTGAGAGGTTAACAGACAAACCAGACACAGCGTCTCTCCACCCGCCAGTGCAACACATGGAAGACAGAGATCAATAAATGATTATACAACAAAACCCAACACTGTACTGGACAGCCAACACAGTATGGGTGGGCTTTAAGTTACAGTCATTACAGTGACATAATCAGAAGCAATTATTTTAATATTCTGATTTGGGGGAAAAAGCTCAAAAAACCTGTTAAAAACACCTTCAGGAGATCTGTGTCTCACATCAGCGTGATTGGTAACCACTAGTGTTTGCGTCACTAACCTCTGTGTTATAGAGATTCTCATAAAAGCAGCAATAAAACATTTTTTATGTGCAGTTTTATTTTCACAACAATCCAACTTTACATGGGGAAATCCTGGGAAACCCTGGATGTTGTCTATTGCTCTAAGTAGCCATTTTCAAATGAAATCTGTTCTTTCTAAATCACAGGACTCACAGCAGGAGATAAAAATTAAGAGATAAATAATAATACTTCTGTATTTTCACAAATATGAGATAGGATAAGATCATTTTAACAGAATAATGGTTGTGCAGTCGGGGGACTGAACTACAATAACACTTCTGTTCCAGCCTCCTCTAGTTTGTGAGAGAACAAAACCATCCAGACCGCATTATATTCCTTCTCCAAGGCCATCGGCCATTTTCCACAGCTTGTTCCAGATGGCCTCGGGTCTCGTCCACTCTCAGGCCCAAACCTCTAAAACTCAACAAACTAAACTAAATTAAGGCAGCAGACAGATAATGTCAGGGTGGACTCTTAAATGCCTGAATGCTCTGTGTGGTTATTAGGATGATTTATATTTTTACCATGAAATTACCTGTTTGTAAATGTAACTCACAACTGTGTAACCACTTGGTAGCGCCCCTGGCCTTTTCTTTTGGCAGCTATTTTGAAGAATTATGTAAATTAACTTTAATGTCAGCAGTCACATGGCATAAAAAAAAAACTACATTTATAAAACAGGAATATTCACACGTCTGGTTTCAGGAGGTGAGCTGCAGAGGCCACACCACCAGGTTCAATTATATTTTTAATTTAAAAAAAAAAAAATCGAATTATATGCGCTAAAGGCAGGCTGAAACATCGAGCTTGTGCGAGAATCTGAAGAAAAGAAAAAAAAGAAAGCAGAGAGGCCAAGCTTCAAACTTTCTAAGGTTTGTGTTTTGTGTGAATTTACACGGAGAAACAAACAAACAAAAACACGGTTGTGGAATCATATCTCATGTATTCCAGAAGTATTATGAATGGACACCTAAACCTATCACAGCTGTGAGAGTGCAGGACAACTGGCAGGCTCTGCCACTAGGTGGAGCACTTACACAGCTCAAGCAGGTGGAGAGAGACGCTGTGTCTGGAACATAGCTCATCAACACATATCAGTAAAGTTAAACCTTGTTAGGTGACCACAAAATAAACAGAGGGGTGCAGGTAAAGAGACATGTGAGAGTAGCCAGAAAGATCAACTTTTTTGTAACAGAACTAAATGTTTAGTTTTGTGTTTTTTATCTTCATCCCAGAAAATGAACTAAAATAGCTGGGAGCAGCAACACAAGTCAACCTAATGATAATCAGAATTGATCATTTATTCGGTCTGAACTCTCCCATCTTCTCTGGCAGCTAACAAGGCAAACAAATGGAAAAGAACAAAAGGCTGGGAAAGTCACACTTTACATTCTCTGGCAGCAGATCACCACACGTATGCAACGATCAGAAACATAAACAAGTACACACATGCAGATCACCAACATCAACAAAGAAGGAGTACAGTACAGAGCCCATGTTGAGTCAGAACAGACTGATGAGTCACAGACTCATTTGTATTAAGTGAGAAGAGAGAGGTTTTCACAGCTGCCTGTGGAGAGAGCTGAAGTGGAAGTGATGATTTGTTTGACAGGATGAAAAACAAAATGTACTCTGACAACTGCAGGGAAGCAGTGGAGGATAAACATCCCCAGACATATCTGTTTTTATCCATCTAATATTAGAAATATGAGCCAATTGCAACTGATAGTATACAAGTGCAATACAAAGGAATTACAGCATTTTAAAGATTTTGATATTTTCAGTATGCTGCAGAATGATGTTGCTATTTTAGAGATTTGAAAAGAAGATAAGTGCATGCTAATAATACACAAATAGTGTATGAAAATAACTGGATACACCCAGTATTTCCAAAATAATACTTCTACTGGAATCTTGCATCGTGCTTTTGCAAATTCTAGTTCTTTATATATTTAAGTTCCATTTACTTTTGTAAATCCTCTCTAACTCGTAGGCTGTGTAATTGTGCTGGTGTAGAAGCTGTGAAAGCTCCCTCTTGGGATCAATAAAGTGTGTCTTCAAATCCAATTAAAGGCCGATAGTTGATTGATTGATTGATCGTTGTATTTATACTGACTTCATTTACTGTTTGATCAAAGAAGATTTAAGGACAAAACAAAAGCTCCTTGTCAGATTTTCCTTCCAGCTAAAGTTCTTTCCAGATGAGCCCGGCTCCTTTCCTGATATAAATAGGTCCAGAGATCTGCAGGCGATCGTCTGCTGTGTGCTAATAATCCATTGACAGGCTACAGTTTATAGGCACAGCTATGTGTCACACCATACCGCCTGCAAGGACTACAACTAGAGGTGCAATAGGAGATGCTGATTGGTTGTTCTGGGCTCTATGACTACTGTTGCTATGCGAGCAGGCCAGCTCTAAGCAACAGCAGGAGCAGCATTTTAGAAATAAGGTGGTGAGCAGCCTACAGCGACCCTATAACTACATATTCTGCCACTGCAGTGAGGACAGGCTGAGAAAATTCTGCATATTCTGAAATGTACCAGCTGATTGAGAACAGTCGGTCTGCAGCTGAGGCAGCGAGGTGGCATCAATGTGTGTGACCAGAGGGGTTTTTAAAGCTTTTTAGACATTAGTTGGAAAAGCTGTACAACAAAAGAGAGTTTAGTGAAAAATACTATACTATACTAAACTATACAAAGAGCTACGACTCAACGACTGCCAACGACTTAAGCTCCAGCCAAGTGAATGCTCCAGCAGAGCATTTTTTCACTTGATCTCATTAATCAAAGTCAGGGTAACAGCGACGCACAAGCAGGAAGAAGAAGCGGGAGAGCAGAGTAACTGTGACTGTCAGTCAGGATTATCAGTGTAGCATTGTACAGTTTGATCCTTTTGAGCTAGTCGGACAAGATTTAAGTCCTCATTCAAACATTTTAGTCATAGATGAAGAAACAACCTCAACCTCACAACCTCACCTTTCATGACCGAAGCCACTAATTGAAGAGATAATCCCCTCACTGGCCTCCAGTGGCCCCTCATTCTCACTATAACTTTATAGGGAACCATCAGTTGGCTTGATTGACAGCAAATAAAATAATCCAATCCAAGCCAGCTCAATGTGACCAAACTTTAGCATTTACATTAACAACTGTGTTTATTATAGTTTCTGTGCTGAGGAAACTTGAACAAGTAAAATGACTTTGTGGATGACTTCAGTCCAGAAAGATAGAGGAGTTATTTCAAGTCGACATGTCTGTGTCCCTGGTTTGAGAACTCTCAGTAATGTGCCGAGGGCTGTGTACTGTACTTACCCCGTTCCATTCCACGCTCATACTCACTTCCTCGCCGCCGTCTGGCCCGCTCTCATACTTCACCGTGTCAGAATTCAGGCTCTCACGGCTTCGCTGCTTCTCTCGGGCCTCCGGCTCGCTCAGCACCTCAGCCACGCGCTGCTTGTGCACATTGTCCAGACCCTGATGTGTGCACACAACAATAAATAAATGCTAGTTCAACAAATCCAATTAAGCATAAGCTAAACCCATGTACTAGTCGGACCTCCAGCACAGCCTTACCTACACAGATACACTGTACAGCTGTCAGCAACAAGTGCTAATTCATCCAATCCAATTAATACTAAATCTATAGACTTCTACTGCCTGCTGCTCTAAACCCAGCACCTGGGATTTGCTGATTAGCAGTCAGAATAAACCTGGCAGAAGACAGAAAATGAAAAAAAAATCCAACTAATTATTGGTAAATTAGCTTGCTGACCACTAGAAATTCAGTTAAACCATTTTTGAAAAAGCACACTTTCAATATGGAGCTAGAGGAAAGCACCTACCTAAGAAGTCACTGCCCATTCTGAAATCTCAGAATGTCATTTTTGACTATCTTTACTGCTGTTTTGATATTTACAGAAATCTTAAAGACTTTTTTAAACGTTCAGTTTGGTGGAAAAAACAATTTTGCAACCATGTGATTAAAAGAACATACATGTAAGCATCTAATATAGTGAAACTTGAACAGCAAACAGGACTTAGACTCCATTAAGTCTCATAAGTAACACCATCAGGGGCAGCTAAAAACAACACCAAAGAAACCAAACTACGCTCCAGGATTCTGAGTGCATTGCATTCTTCCAATTTCACAGCAGCTCACACATTTTCTGCCTTTTAATGTGACGCAAATGCTCGACGGACCCATTTCATCTGAGCACCGATAACAAGTCATCTGCTTCTATATCTACAGTCCTGTGTTGTTAGTCACATTATCCAGAGGCCACACCTGCTTTCTGGAACGCATCGCAGCTTCCTCCAGGGTCCCAGCTGCCTCTAGCTTGCCCTGCCGCCTGTAGAGGGCACCAAGGTTTTTCAGGGTGGTGGTAACCGTGGGGCTGAAACGACAACCGGTGGAAATTTAATGTCACAGAAAATCGTTTTGGCGAAAGAAAATAAAACAACAAGAACAACACGACTGTCTTATAGATGGTTGGCCACAGCTGGTTTAATTGCTTACTACATTTTGTTATGTGTAAACATTTATATATATCATTTATCAGTTTGCTTCCTGTGCTGAGAGTATCACCCATATTTACTCGGTGGAAAAACACTGACCTGTCGACTTTACAGGCTTTGTACCAGCCTCCGTACTCTCCAAAGGGTGAACCGTCTTTGTGCTTCCCCTGTGAAACACCAATTTGGTTTAGATTTAAGAAATCTGCATATATGATATAATAAATCAGACATTTAAGGATGGAAACCAACCCGCTTACATTGTATGTAGTTAGTTTACATGGAGAAGTGTTAGCAGTGGGATTATAATTGGATCAGTACTTCTTCCCCAGAACATCTAAACCTATTAAACCATGAAATGAACTCTTAGATGGGAGAGTGAAGGACTCGGACCATCATCATCAGTTTTTACTGAGACTTAATATCCTAATCCAATCTTTGTAAAGTCAGTCTTTCTTATTTCATGTTAAATAAGGTAAAAGAATTCAGAGAAGTTTAATGCAGAAGTTTTTTTTTTTCAAACTTGGTGTGTTTTGATCCTGTGCAATTATAAGGTTTTGTCTTTAACACTGAAACCCAAAATTAAGAAAGCACAACAGAAATTACAATTATACTTGTATATATGTTTCAGGCTCTCACCTTGCTTTGCTCCTCTCTCTCCTCAGCATGCATCCAGATTGGTTTGTTCTCATCTGCAAAGAAACACACACACAATCAGTCCTGACAAACTCAGATAAGCAGCTAGAGACACCTTTGAAAAGTCACCCTGACTCTGAAGTGCTGTTTTCTGTTTCTTTTCAGCTCCATCCTTCACTAAAATAACAGCAGCCTGAACATGTTAACCTTTACTTCAAAGGAGAGACTTATAAAGTTGTTCATGCATGCAAGTTACTCTAAGTTTAAGCTACTATCTGCAATGTCTGAAATATAAAAAGTGTGTGAGCACTTTGTACCATCAACAGAGCCAAACTCCCGTTCATGAGCGCGGGTTAGGATTTCTTTATACAGGGTCTCTGCCTGCTTGAACTTGCCCTGCTTCAGGTAACAAGATGCCTGAAAAACACAAACAATAAGAACAACATGACACTGCGAATGAGCAAAGTCAGAGCTCGCTCTTCAGCAGTTAGCAGTAAGGTCCAGCAATGGGATGTCAGCAACACACAAGAAGCTTCACAGGACTGGGAGAAGCTGAATTAGTTTTTTCTTCTTCCTTTTTTTATTTTTTAAAATAAAATAATTTAAAAAGAGTTGTCATTTTCATGCCACTTGTCATCTGCAGATATTGATTTTTAGTCTGCAAATTGACAAATACTTCCTTCCTTCTCACCAAGTTGTTCTTGGTCTTGGCCACGTTGGGGTCATCTGGGCCCAGTTTGGTCTGGTAGATCTCCAGGGCTCTCATGTAGTAGTACTCCACCTCCTCATACTTGCCCTGGTTCTGACACAGCAGGGCCAGGTTGTTTAGTTGCTTGGCCACATCTGGGTGGTCCTTACCCAACACCTGGGACAAAAGAGGAAGAGATATGAACTTTAAACAACCCATTTCTGCCATGTGCTATTTGGTCAGTAACACTTAGCCAACATGAGAAATGCTGGTCAGACGGATTTAGCGCCTTCTACTGAGTTTCACTAGTGTAAACATTCAAATGTGCAACCTAGTTTAAATCCTCAGGTCCAATGTTGTAAATTTGGATTTCCAGGAAGACCGGAAGGGTGTTTGTCAATACGTTGGAAATGTTTGTTTCATCTCCTGCCAAGCTGCTTTGACTTGCTGCACTCTGTTTGTAGTGCCGCTGATTACACTACACGTATGTTTGGAGCAGTGTGCACAGAAGATGTCACAGGTGTAAATTTGGTCTAGAGTACTGGGGATCAAGCCTGTAGCCTTTGCTACATACAGTACATGCCTCCGTAGGAATTTTGGCCTTTTCTGGATTAATAGGCTACTAACCTGCTTTAATAAATAAAAAAATAAATAAAGCTGTAAAACAAAACAAAAACAACAACACCCCTGGATTAAGAAACAGCCTTTAAGCACTGCAACCTCTTCCTGTGAGCTAAGAAGAGTAAAGGTCATTAGAGTAGAGTGCAGCAAGACTAAAAGAC